TTCAAGTCACAGTTAGTTAATATTCACTTGAAGAAATGCTAGAAATTTAGAATTATCGAATAGAATAACGGAATTTAGAAATAAACATTAATAAAATGAAACAAAAATAAAATAAAATGAAAAAAATAAAAAATAAATAAATGAATAAAATTTTTTAAAACTTTAAAAAGCTGGAATTTTTGAAAAGTGAACAATAAATTCTGTAAATTGTAAAAAATTATTGTCAAAGAAGGAAGAATTTCGTAAATCGAAAAATTAAAAAAAATTCTATAATTATTGAAAGTACATCCTCTAAGTTTCCGTCGCGTAAGACTCCAACCTAATGAACCTGTCCTGCAAACCCGATGGCCTATACATTTTATTTATAAAGCCCTGACCTTGAAGAAGCCGAATAAGGGACCGTACCCCGCGGAATGCCCGTCCTTGCATAAGGCCCCGTTCCGCCATTGGCATCACGATCCGGCGATTACACGCAATGCGTAATGTCAGATGTTGAATTAGTCATCACTTAGTCACCATTTATTTTGGCACTATTTCGCCCCTAGATTATAGATATCCTCGGTACAACAGCCGCTGCGGAATAAATTAATTAGCGCAGACGATGAGGGTAACAGGCCAACTTCTCCACTATTCCCCTCTTCGAGGAATATCTCTAAATCTACGAGGTATATCGAATTTTTTCATAGAACAACTTTTGTACAACGCAATGAGATAAACAAAAACAGTTTTTAGGAAAAATTCGCTATCCCTCTTTGATTTCGAGATATTACGCGAAAACATTCCTGCTGAATCCATCCGTGACCTGTGGAACTTTCATCGACGTTTCGTAGAATATCTCTGAATCTAATGGAGATAGCAAAATTAATGTCAAAATGTATTTTGTAGAGAGAAATCAGGACTACAAAAGAGGTCTAGACCATAATTTCGATATCTCTGTTAGATTTAGAGGTATGAATCGAACACTCGGTAATTTCTTATGAGTTGGGATGTAAATGCATGAGGGTTAATTAGGAGTAGGAGTTATTGGATTTTAATGAAGAAAACATGCAATGGAAAAATATGCTGGGCGTGTCTGGTATGCTCTCATGGCGTAAGTGACGTACCACCCCCCGTTTTCATTTCAATCAATACTATGAGGCATCCGCAAAGGAAACTGTGGACCAGTGAGGTTCAATGCACGAAATACTGGCTAGACGTGGCAAATCGTTGACCTTCAGATCCTTCGCCCTATTTTCACCTGAAATGTTGGAATTTTTTATTTACCCCTGGGGTCGTCTTTTATCAGAGAAAAATAGCTTTTATACGTGCCATAAACGTTCGATACACGCAATCAACTATCGTTGCCGCAGAGATAACAGAATTGGAGAATTGATACTCGTGGTATCAGTTCCAGGTATCAATGGAAAGCTAACGCAATTCAGGGTATCCTAGTAATTTTTTTTCTAAAATCCTTGGATACTTTCTCAAGTGGACAATCCGATTTTTTTCATGTCCTTACGTGTTATTTCAGTCAAACGTTTCAAGTTATAAAAAGGATAAACAATTTTTAAATGATTAAAAAGATTGTAATAGTATGAGGAAGTTTTGGTGAAGTGATTACAAAATTTCAATTTTTCAAAACCATTTGTGATTTTTTTTTATGTCAAGACTAATATGTCTATTTAGACTTCATTAGAAATCGATTTAATGCTGTTGAAAATTTCTTGGAATTTCAATGACAAAGTCACCTAATTTTATAATTTAATGAGTTTGAATTCAATTTCAATTAGCGGAAAATTTCAGAAAATTGGGTTTATCATGTGAAATTATTATTGTTTTTTTTATCTCAACAGAGTGAAAATTGCAAGGAAATTACTGTTTGAATTTTCAACATTTTTACGATTTTTCACTATCATGTTTTAAAATATCGAAGAAATTAAATAATTCATCAATAAAAAATTGTCAAAAATTTCAGGATTTTTAACAGAAATAATTTAAATGAATTCTATCTAAAAAATGCGGTCAGATTTCGTGAAGGAAAGTAAATCAACAGATTTGATGATTGAGATGAAAAAAAATTCTGGAATAGTTCCGACAAAACTGTAAAAGGTACTGAGATGTGAATGAATCCATCGATGACTCAGGATCGAAGGAAAAATCACGGAATAGATTTTTCCCGGATTGAAAACGTCATCTGGAGGAATGGGTGTTTTAACAGGATGATTCTATCTGGGCCGGGAGCATGCGTCATGTATTATCGGCGACATTCTCAATGACTTATCACGGATGAATGTTGAAAAAGTATGCGTTCGGGGGCTTGAAATGATGATAAGGCTGTTATTCCATTGAAAGTCTCTCATCGAAGAGTTAAGATGCACTAATAGCGTTAGGCTTGCAGACGGGTCGTGTCCTCGGCCTTGAAACTATTTTCAGAAACGGTCCCAATGACTGAGGCCTAGACTGCAAACGGAGGCTTGTGGAATTGACTGCCTATGTTTCCACGGATGATTTACTCCCCCATGTCAACTGCAAAAATAAGTCTCTCATAAATTTTAAAAGTGAACTAATTACACTTTTGAGTACAAAGTCATTAACTTCTTGATTTTTCTTGAATATCTCCAAAACGGAGGGAGACAGACTAATTTTCGTTATGACCTTTTTCGTAGTTCTCAATTAGCTCTATGAAAAAGGTCTTCATAAAAATTAAGCTATCTTGTTTAAATCATGAGATATCTCCGAAAAACCGAAGAGGTAAGGTATTATTTGGCTTTACTCATCGTCGCTGCTGGGAAAAGTGCCGACAATACCGGAAACTCATGTTTGTAAACGGATATTTTTTTTTAATTACAAACTTACGAGTGCTGTCTCATTGCTAGTAAAGATAATAGGGTTTTCTACAGTTTTTTTTTCGAAATTCGGTCATTATTCTTGGAATTCATTAAAGTTCTATTAAGAAAATTGATGATCTGTGCATCACCTTTTTACGCTTTCATTTTTTTTCATTTGATTCTTAATTCTTCGCAATGAGTCTATCATTATTATCACATAAAATATAATGGTTACACTAATTTACAAAAATCCAAATCGTCTGAAAAAAAAAGAAATTTAGATTGAACAGAAAAAATCTATGGTAATTGCATCGTCTAATTGGTATTCCGTCATCCTATCCATTTCTTAGTTGCCTCCACTTAGACATGTCCAAGGAAAGTCCGGAAAATGCTGAGTTGTTGTGAAAAGAAGCAGGCCTGACCATTGGGCAAATATTCCCATTTAAAACTCATAAACCATCCGTATGACGTACCTCTCAACGAATTCCTCGTAGAAATTCATCAACGGATTCCGTTAAATGACATAAAATTTTAGAAAATTTTAAAAAATCAGTTTAAAAAATCAATTTTAAGATGAAATCACAAATTGTTTACGATTTTTTCACAATTAAATGATGACGTTTTGAAACATCTGGAGTGATTTCCGCAAATTCTGTCAGACTTAATATTATGACGTATTCCATATTTTTTAATAACACAAAATGTAAAAAATATCTAATTCTGATATTTTTTATATTATCTCTCATAAAATATCGCGGAGGGTCAGGAACAAAGGAATAGCGACGAATTCCCTGGAATATTACGGCATTACATGACCTAGTTGCTCCAATCCGCTGCGATTTATTCTCAATTTCCGACGAGCTATAACAAATTATGACAAATCTTTCCGTACAAAATTAGTCATGTAATACCAAATTCATTTTGCCTATAATTGTTTCATCGAAAAATTTCGCAATAAACGAAAGATAGCACGTCAGACGCATTTACTTGCCACCAGTAAATCTACATGCATAATTTCATAAAACATGTTAATGCCAAACATATTTTCTGGTAATCAATAAATATACTTTTAATATACTCATAAAATTTAGATAATTCATTCTTCTTCTCAGTGTATTCGTCGTAATTTCTGCTCCAAAAAGAAAATAAAATTGATAATTTTCGATGAACTAGGGAGATGATTAGGGAGAATCTGTCAACAGAATGGATGAAGGGTTAATTAAACAGAGTTACCAGGTGGTGGTATTTTTGAAACCGTTTATTTATTTTACCCATTCCTGATGAATTTCATAAAATCGATAACGCGATTGATTGTCGCTTTAACAATGGACGTTATTGATCATCATTGAGATAATTGAAACAACTACGATGTACACTGGGGAAAAAATGTCTTCATCCAAATATATTAACATTCCACCAGTAAATCAGTAGAAATACTTCCACAAGACATGACAATGCCAAATATATTTTCAGGTAATCAGTAACTATGGCCGTGTAAACTTACCCTGAGAAAAAAATATCTCTTTATCCTGTAAAGAGCTATTTTTTTCTCAACGTAGGATGCACCCAATTCCCAGAAAATGAAAAAGAATTATTCAAAAATACCACCACCCGGCATCTCTGAACATGCATTAACCTTACGGTGATGCCGAGAGACGGTTAGTTATACTAGTTTTCTCTGGCAATAGCTAAGCTACACCGATACTATACAAAATCTCTCAGTTATGACGCTTCCAGGATGGTATTATAGCACACGGAGTTTACGCGTACAGTTTGAGTCGGCATTTGGAGAATCCAGCGAGTGTTGGCCTCAACCAATGGGAGAACCGCTCACGTTTTATGCCCATATATGGCAAGAGCCGGTGAGACAACCCGGAGTGGTGGGGTACCCCGGACGAGTCCATTTCTCTGATATTGAAAATGGGGGGGTCAGCATGATTTTCAAATAATTATTTACCAACCACCATGAGGAGGAACTAGATAAAAATTATCACCTCTAGATGAATCATTATCTCCTGATGATGTTTGAGCGAATTACAGGATATTTTTTGGTCCTCGGGATAAATTTAAAATTGAAAATTGCTCGTGTTCTGGGGGGCCACAACAGCTGCCTGCCACCCCCTGGGACGCGTCCACGTCGACGCCGGCCTCCGATTTTCCCTCGACAGTGTTGCCTACAACTTGCGTCCGTCTCTTCGAGTCTCGAGTCTCGCATCGTCCTGTCGTCGCTACTGTCCCTGTCCTCAGGAACACGCCGCAAGCCAAAAACAAAAAAATATAACAAAAAATTTAAAAAAAAAACCACTGACTCTTCACATTTTATCTGCTAAATAGGTGAGTCCGCATATTAATTAATCAGTGATTTATCGTAGGGGCCGAGGCCAATGGATTTACAGTTGCAATTTTATCCATTGCTCCCAACTCGGCTTGCAAGCCGGTTATCCGCCATCATTGGGTACAGGGCGTTGCTCTCCTCGTGGCCGATATTCCAGAATTGTTCGGTGTACGCGGATTAATAAGTTGGCATTATTTCGGGATATATTTCTTTTTTTTTATCTTCTTTTTGGTGGATTTTAACGGGACACGTCGACAGGTTGTTGCCGGCGACAAGTGGCCCCTTCGGTGGATTTTCGTGACGTTTACCGCATTCTATTATTAGAGTCATGCACTTCCTCTCGAGAGCCAAAATTACCCGCAAATTCTTATCACTTCCTTTTCCTCCTGGGCCTTTCCCTGTGGCTCGATCAAAAACCCACTCGGTTCGTCGTGTTATCGGTGAATTCTGCGGATTTTTATTTCTCCATTTAGTGATAATGTTCGAATGTAAAATCTGAATGGAATTTTTTGAAAATGTTTTAAAAACTGAGGGAGATACAGACTTTTTTGTTGAGACTATTTTTTCGATTTCAATTCGCTCCATAAAAAATGTTCTGGCGAAAATTTTAATGTCTCCATTAGCTCCGGAGATATTTACGAAAAACTCACTGAAGAACTGAGTTAAATGATCTCTTTTTAAGTGACCATGTAACATTACCATAGAAGTAAAATTTTCAATTCAATTATTTTTTAGGGTAACGAAAATATTTTGAAAAATCCAAATTTTTAATCGCTGCGTAACACAGTGATGAAACGAATAAGAATTTTATTTTTGAGAAATAATGACCGCACACTAACAAATAACTGGTTTGTAAATTTTACTCCTATGGTAATATTACATGGCCACTTAACCAATCAATCTAATCATTTCATCAATCAATTTACTTTTCCGTGGTGTTGGAGTAATTGTTTTGCATGTAGACAGATCTTTCGTTTTCCCCAGAAATCTTAAATAACAAAACATTTTTAACAATGCTAGAGAATAATCTTTGGGATGAATGAAAGTGAAGGTGGGAGGGTTAAATAAATGCGGGTGGATTACTCACATTATTCGTGCGACCGGTCGATGAGGGGTAGTTTAAGCCGGTTCCAAAATTGTGGGGGTGGAAAGAGGCGGGGAGGGGAAATGGCAGCTACGGGGGCAAAGGGCAAGGAGAAGAGGAGGAATTGAAGAGTCTCGACAGTATCGTAATATCAGGCAAAAAATTGATAGTAAGGAAGTTGAGGAGAAATGGGAGATTTTCCCCTCTTCTGCTATTCGACTACCTTATATGGTAAAGAAAGCCAGGATTGGACGAGGAAGGGCTTCCCCTATTGGCCGATGGCTCTGGGTGGGGGGCCCTGTACCACCGCTCATCCTTTCGTATAATACACTCGTCGCCGATTGAATCGACTACATTTTGGATTTTTCGAGTGTCGAGAACACAACTGAGAGACTGAATTTATCCAATTCGAAGTGACATTTCGGGTTGAAATTTTGTATTAAATTTTTTACGTGTTTTTAAATCAGTAAGTTGGTTTTTTTTTTTAATGTGAAGTTTGAGTTTTGTGGAGTTTGGGTTTTGTGACTATCCCCAGGGGTTTTTTGGAATTTGAGGATTTGGGTTTTTGGATTTGAGGATTTGAGTTGTGCGGATTTTTGTTTCTTTTTGCGGTTTTTTTTTTTTGGTTTTTTTGGAGGATTTTTGAGGATTGGACGGTGTGTCTAGGTGCCGGGGTTGGGCGGGGCTGGGTGCGGTTTTCCCAGAGGTACCGGTTGACGACCCGTCGGTTTTTACGGGTGATACTGGAGTTTTGGCGGTTTGTAGGGGAATATTATGGGCCATTGAGGGATTATTGAGGGGTTTTGAGAGTTTTTGAGGAGTAGGTGGTGTATTGTCGCGGATTTTGTAACGGTTTGTCCGGGGCTTTAAGAACTCTGCGGCCATCTTGAGTGATGCGCGTCACGTGGCAGTTTGAAAATCCGGTTGGAGCTATTGAGGATGGTCTGCGGACTTTCAGTAGATTTTTGTAGAGCTTCTAAAATTGTTGAGTGTAAAAATAATGGTTTTTTTAAATCCAATTCCATCGGAAGTTTATCAGAAATTTCTAGGAAATCGGGAAATGGACTGAAAAGGGGTAGAACATCTTTGAATCTGCTCCTCGAGTTTTTGAGGAATATTTCTGAATGTAAGGAGCTGGAGACATTTTTTTAGGACATTTTTTGTAGAGTGGAATAAGAACTGCAGAACAGTACGAATTTCGGTATCTCTCGTTCGTTCAGAGATATTCATGGAAAACTTACGGATTAAATTGATCTGTCATTCTTTATCTTTTGCGGGTAGAAATACGTGGAGATCAAGGGGCGAAGTCAACGCTTTAGACTTTGAATGGATTGAAGTATTTCGTTTTTTGCAAGGGTAGATTTTTTTATATTTCTAGTGAAACTAGACTAGTTGACTAATTAATTTTTGAGTTGCCAATATTCTTACAAAAGTTTGATTCGTCACTTTTATCCCACCTTCTTCTGGGATTATAATCTGTCATTGAGATTCAGCTTGAATCAATGTCAAACACTTTTCTTTCATTTTATTATATTAAATGCTAAATGCAAATTACTTTATTTAAAATATTCAGTTAAAGTATCCAATTTCAAAGTTTTCTTTACATTCAAGGAAAATTAGATTTTCAAAATATCGCGTGATTCCCCCGAATAAATAGCGTACTCATGCCAAAATATCCTATGGAAAGGGCGTATGTCCGATCAAGTCATGATCGAATCCAAAACTTCGTAAAATTAAAAATCATTCTCTTTACCTTTTATCCCCCGTTTTTTCCCTGATCTCCACCAAAAACTCAATTAAATAAATAAATTGACTGTTACAGATAAACTCAAAACAAAATGTGCGACGAAGAAGTAGCCGCCCTCGTAGTAGACAATGGATCCGGTATGTGCAAAGCCGGTTTCGCTGGTGACGACGCGCCCCGTGCTGTGTTCCCCTCGATCGTGGGTCGACCCCGTCACCAGGGTGTGATGGTTGGTATGGGCCAGAAGGACTCATACGTTGGTGACGAGGCGCAGTCCAAACGTGGAATTCTCACCCTGAAGTACCCAATCGAGCACGGAATAGTGACCAACTGGGACGACATGGAGAAAATCTGGCACCACACGTTCTACAACGAGCTTCGAGTGGCCCCAGAGGAGCACCCAGTCCTCCTGACCGAGGCTCCCCTCAATCCCAAGGCCAATCGTGAAAAAATGACTCAAATTATGTTCGAGACATTCAATACACCAGCGATGTACGTTGCCATCCAGGCTGTTCTCTCGCTGTACGCCTCAGGTCGTACCACTGGTATTGTCCTGGACTCTGGTGACGGTGTATCCCACACTGTACCAATCTACGAGGGATACGCCCTGCCCCACGCCATTCTTCGTCTCGATCTGGCTGGTCGTGACCTCACTGACTACCTCATGAAGATTCTCACTGAGCGTGGCTACTCCTTCACGACAACCGCTGAACGTGAGATCGTTCGTGATATCAAGGAGAAACTCTGCTACGTTGCCCTTGACTTTGAGCAGGAGATGGCAACAGCTGCTTCATCATCGAGCCTCGAGAAGAGCTACGAACTCCCTGATGGACAGGTCATTACCATTGGCAATGAACGATTCCGTTGCCCCGAGGCACTCTTCCAGCCATCATTCCTGGGTATGGAAGCCTGTGGCATCCACGAAACAACTTACAACTCCATCATGAAGTGTGACGTTGATATTCGTAAGGATCTCTATGCCAACACTGTACTATCTGGTGGTACCACCATGTATCCTGGTATTGCCGACAGAATGCAGAAGGAAATCACTGCCCTAGCACCATCCACCATGAAGATCAAGATCATTGCACCACCTGAGAGGAAATACTCAGTGTGGATCGGTGGATCCATCCTTGCTTCACTCTCCACATTCCAGCAGATGTGGATCTCCAAGCAGGAGTACGACGAGTCTGGACCATCAATTGTCCACAGAAAGTGCTTCTAAGCTTGCAACGTACCCGAAGATTTACCCCCCCTTTCCCCTTTCGCAGTCATTCCGTTGGTCTTTTATTATTTTATTTTATTTTAATCTAGATTTTTTTCTCTCTTTTTGGATCTCAGTGGACTTTTGTACACTGGGCTCTTCCATTATCATCCGTCATTACTCCCATTCCTTCTCCTTGCCCTCCCCCCTTTTTACACGATTTCCCCTTTCTACCCTGAAATTGAAAACCTTCGGATGCGTTCCAGGAGTTCCAGTAACTGCGATTCACGGAATCATAAATCAGAGCGATTTTTTCGGCTTTTTCGTGCTTTTTCAATTGCACTGATTTATCGATTTTGTTATTCCGTGGTAAATCGTGTTAACAATTGCATTCCGTATTCATTCGAGGATTGTTTGATGAATTAAGAGACACGTGTTCCTCGGATTCCAGTGGAAATTCGAGCTACAGGGCCTCATGACTTATTTTCGAATGTCTTATTATTGTTTAATTAAATTGGTCTCCTGAAACTTTTTCATATGAAATATACATTAGTATTATCGATAAATGGAACACTTTCTCGTGGTGGGGAGACAGCACGAGTCATTCATTAATTGGGATGTGTGATGCCCGAGGAAGTCTGCGTAAATTACTCGCTCAAACCATTATTAATTTTTTTTTTTCTCTCAAAATACATAATAAAATGTGAGACAAAATAAGGATTAAAGACACGGTTTCGAAACCCCGCAAAGCGTAGCCAAAGTATTATAATTTTATTCCCATTGTATTGTGCAAATTCATTCATGCAATTGAGAGATTACTCCAGACTGTGGGATAATAAAAGTAATAAAAAAAAATCTGATAAGGTATATATGGGTATATACTGCGAGGTGAACACGATTTTTCCGTTGGGCTCTTGGTTTGATCCTTGTATGAACGTATGCATTCCTTGCGTTCTTTGTTTCGCTCGAGTTGTCTATCGTCGATTATCGAATAGTGCTGATATGTAGGTGATTATGAATTTTTTTTTTTGCAATTCATGTGCACGATTAACGAATACGAGGAATCCCCAATTTTGTACCGTCTCTAGAGGAAAATACAATGTCAGTAATCCTAAGACTTGTGGTAAACCTATGATAATTATTGTAAGAATTAGGTTTATACTTTCCAATTCAATAAAATTATTTTCAACGACTATTGAAATACTGGGCATCCTGTTATTTATCTTCCCAAGAATTTGAATTGGTGGCGCCACTGGGCCCAATTGCTTTCGCTGGTAAGTTATGATTGGCTAGAGATTTGCGCGAAGAGAAAAAACAATGAGCACTTGTTAATTGTTGTGGAGTTGAGTTGAAGTCATTATCAGGATCATTTCTCGGTGATGACCCATCCTCGATGATTATTAATAATAAAGCTGTCCAATCGTTGATTGTTTAATTTTATCAGAGAAAATATTGGACCAGTGAGGGGAGGATCAGCGAAAATATGGAGTCAATTTACTGATTTTTCAGGGTTTTCTTGCGTGTGGCTGTCATTTTATCTACGAGGCTTGCAGTTTAGTGATAGTAGACTATTTTTTTTATTGGAATTTGAAAAATGCCGGAGCAGAGTTCGGAGCAGTACTCCACGTGGGTGAGTATTTTAATTCCTGGCTGTTGGTTTTTGGACATAACCTGCTGATGTAAACAATGTCATCTGTCATGGAATTGTTTTGACATTCAGGTGGGACTGATTTATGTGTTCAATCTTATTGTTGGCACTGGTGCCTTGACACTACCAGCAGCTTTCAGCAGAGCAGGATGGGCTCTAGGACTCGGTGTCATCTTGATTCTAGCATTTATCAGGTAATTATTGAATGACAGGGGAATCTTTTTTTGTAATTAATGATTTATTTAAAAAACTATCTGTTTAAGAGAGAAATCTAAAAAAAATTTTTTTGTCGGTTATTCAATTTTAGACAGGAAATGTCTAGTGATGTTTCCTTGAAAAATCAATAGTTTTTACATTGAGGGATTTTTATAACAAAATTGAAGAATTTATGTTATCTGATTTTTCTTTCTTTATTTGAGTTTCGTGAATTGTTTTTGAGAGACATAAATGTCACTTTTTTGGTGTCGATTTTTTAATGGGTCATTAAATTGCAGTTTTGTGACTGTGACGTTTGTCATCGAGACGATGGCATCGGCTAATGCCATCCTGACGTGGCAGAGGATACAAGACAGGAAAAAAGTGAGTAGAGGGTGAAGAGGTCTGAGGAGATGCATGAAGTCTTGACAATGAGAAGTACTGTGGATATTGATAAAATGTAGAGGGGAGTGGAGTTGAAAGGATTCGTTTTTGCTTATTATGAAAAAGAAGAAGGGTAATGACTTATAACAAAAATACAAATACATTCATTTCAATTTATTTAGAAAAACGTTTCGTTCATTTTACTTCCCCCTGAAATTTCTTCCCTGAATTTTCACATTTCTCACATAAATGATTTTCCAGGCTTCAGGTGAATCCGGACCCTCAAACTCTGACTCCGAAGACACTCCCCTGGTCTCCCCAGCCTCAATAAATTCACCAGAACGCACAGATACTTCCTACAGATACTACATGATCAACGAGAGAATAGAAATGGGAGAGATGGCATCGATATTCTTCAATAAAATGGGCACAACTCTGTTCTACATTTGTCTAGCTGTCTATTTGTACGGCGATCTGAGTATTTACGGAGCTGCTATTGGAAAATCCATGGCAGACGTGGCCTGCACTTATCAGCCTGCCAATTTAACGTGCAACGACACAATTCCTGATAACATTGCCTGCTGGGAGGGCTCTGATATCAATCGACTGGATGCCTACAGGATCTTCCTGACGACGTTCGTCCTCGTCCTGGGGCCCTTCGTCTTCTTCAATATTCAGAAGACCAAGTATCTCCAACTTGTCACGTCGGTGATGCGATGGCTGGCCTTTGGCATCATGATTGCATATGCTGTGAGAGTTCTGATGGTTTCTGGCGCCCAGAACTCACCTCCAGCTGCTAATATACTAGGCATGACATTTTCAATCATTTATATTTTAAATCTAGTAATTGTTTATTTATTTCTCCCGAGACTTTGAGAGTAATATTTCATCAATAATTTGAATGTTCCAGGAATTCCAGGGTTATTCGGAGCTTGCGTGTACTCCTTCATGTGCCACCACTCACTACCTGCCCTGGTGGCCCCGATCTCCAACAAATCCACTCTGAAGCGCTCTCTCTTTCTGGACTACGTCCTGATCGCTGTCTTTTATCTGCTGCTGGCCCTGACAGGTGCATTTGCTTTCAAGCACATCGATGACCTCTACACCCTAGATTTTGGACCGAGAGGAGCAGGTGACTGTACAACAAGCTCCAATACATTCCTGGTGATGATAGAATATTTTCTGGCTCTCTTCCCCGTGTTCACTTTGTCTACGAGCTTCCCTATAATAGCAATCACCCTGAGAAACAACTTGCAGTCGTTGTTCCTCAATAAAGACTCCACTTACAATCTCTGCCTGAGGAAATTAACTTTCCCTATCTTGGCTGTTGTCCCTCCTTATGCCATTGCAATGGCAACCAAAGACTTATCGATACTAGTTGGTATAACTGGATCGTACGCTGGTGCTGGCATTCAGTACTTAATTCCCACATTTCTTGTTTATCACGCGAGGAGGAGAACCAACGATGTCATAGGACTCGGAGTGAAAAATAAATTCTCGAGCCCATTCAGGAGCAATTACTGGCTCATTTTCGTGGTTCTCTGGGCTTTTGCCTGCATGATAATCGTGTCTGTTAATCTGTATGAAATTCATTCCGTTTCATGACATAGGAGAATTATGTCGCATTTTTTATAAGATATTTTACAAGATATTTCGCTGATCACTGATTATTACTATGTTTCCTCTATTCTTTTTATGGAGGGAATTTCAAGTGATGTGTGAACCCTCGCAGGAGTCGAATCTCTTTGACAATAGGATATTAATTAAGGAATTCGGTGGAACCTCGGTTTGCTGACCTGTTTAATAGACAATACTTGTTATTACAGTTTCAAATTTTTTTTGTATGGAAGTCTGAGGGCACAGGATACTGTGGGGTAATTAATTATAGCAATTTAACTTGTGTGAGTTGATGTTCATTATAAGTCTGAGGAACTGTATTTTGGAATTGTGATTTATTTATGGGAACTAATAGATGTCCATATTTTTTCATAATAGCGATCTTTATGGAATCGAATATTGATGTTAATCTGTGTTGAGTGTGAAATAAAACAATTTCATGTTGATAGGAGGTGATATTTAATTAGACTTTAGTAATTGAACTTTGAGAATTTTTTGCACACTTTCCTTTATTTTATTTTATTTGAGGAGTTGAGGAAAAGCTGATTAGTGGATCAAATTTATTTTCCGATTGATTTATTTGCCATAGTTCAATAATATACATTTTGTTTTAATATTTTCCATTGACTTTCCATTCATAAATCTTACAATATACATTTTTCTTAGTTTCACGATTCAACAATAAAAACACAAGATAGGCAAACACATATTGAAAGAGTAATATTAAGTGATGAAGACGTACACTGCTGAAAATTTTAATTGCATTATAGTTCACTGACATGTCGAGGATTTTCCAACGTGAAAATTCAGATTTTAATCGAAACTGTAAACTTTTGTTCGATCGTTCTTTTGAAAATCGATAAAAATGAGGAAAATTCAGTTTTATTTGGCGCTGAATTTTCATATTTCCATCGAAAATTGAATATAGTTTTTGCAATCTTATTGGATTTATGATGAAAAAATTCATAATTTTCTTCCTCCGTTTTCCATTTTGTGTTGCTCCCCCGGAGAAAGGGAGTTCCTCGTGAAATTTCATTTTTTTTCTAACACTGCATAATAAACGGTTAATTAATGATTTTTTCCAGTGTGCAGGCACATGCAGGAATAGGCATACTCTCAATTGGTGTTACTGCTCTTTGATTGTTGGATAGTTTTAATTGAATCGTCTTTTCGTGGGCTTGCGAGGAATCTTAGCCAGATTGGTGATAGTGGAGTTATGGAATTATCTAGTAGTGTGATTGCTCGACGAATGAAAGCGGTTAAATCCAATGAACTAAAATTGATAAATCAAATTCGATGACTGAAATGCTCACTGCATTCATTCCATTGTCCATCTTCCTTGATAATACTATCGACAATAATCTTGAGCCAGAGAATTGAGATTGTTGTTCAATTTCAATGAGCATTTTTTCATTTGTGCTTCAATCATGCGCACGTTATAATATTAATCTTTTGGTCTTTGGTTTTCCAGTCAGTCTTACTGTCTTTAAATGCTCGGACTTAACAGAATAATCGAAAAAAAAAATTGTTACATCAATGGTTATAAGGGGAAAGAACTGTAAATGGGATAGACTCAAGCGTAATTCACTTTCGATATGTCGATTTGACGAATTATATTCATTTGATGATTGAAGATATTCGAGAATTTTTGCATTTTTTATAAATCCTATGTGTTCTTCGTTTTCCAAAATTTATGCAATTCTGTAGAGAAATAGTGAAGTGAGATAAGTCGAGATAATTTTTTGTAACGAGCGATTTATCTCGAAAACTATTGGTCTAACGAAAACACGATAAAGGACTTTTTGATGGGGGATTAAATGTTCGACAAAAAAGTTTTTTTGATATTTCTTCCTAGAATTAATAGTTTTTGAGATTAATCGACATTCAATAAAATTGGAAAATTCCATTTATCACACTTCACGATTTGCGAACTTATATTGTCATTAAAATTTCATCACGTTATAGACAACAATTGAAAATTGAAAAGATTTATAAATTAATTAAAAAGCGGGAGTTTTCCCGAATCTTCTCCAATTCAATTGACAATTTCAATAATTGATATTTTTAAATCGTCTGTAGTCTGAACTGGATTTTTCATTTTCAATTGTTAGAACTGTTTTTTAAAAACTCCAGTAAAAAAACTGCTATAATTATAAAAAAAGCACGTCTAATCCTCATAAAAAAAGATATCCTCCGCCTCAAATTATTCATTCTGTATTCGACCAAGTGTGGTCGCAACGGATTAAAAAAAAGCAAAAAGAAACAATTCTTCTGGTATTATTAAAAAAATTGATGATTGACTGTAGACGGCACCTGATAATATTAATACTTAAGGCCCTGATATTTCTCCAAAAAGGGGCAGCTCCCTTCCTGATGATCGATGCATTCGATAACAGGATTGTGACTGCTGTCCCACATTCCAGGGCCGCACTGTCGACACAATCCAGCGAGAGTACAGGGTAGACGATCAAGCTGTCTAAATTGATAGAGCAGACCCCTAGCCTTCCTGACAATAACATTGCCATCCATGTACATAGCGAGTGAACTGAAATGCAGGAGCATCTCGTCGGTCCTGAGATCCTGGGCAATAACATCATCAGCGTAAATGCACATGATAGCCAAGCAGAGGAATAAATGAAAATAATCGGTCAAGTAATTGACCCAGCAGGCCTCCCACATGACAAGTGCAGTCTCTGTTGGGAATTCTCTCTTGAGGCACAACAAAATCCACCTGTGGCAGAACAGAAGCTCGAGGGCATCCGTGTGTCTCTCCAGGTGAGCGTAAAAATCCGGGACCATCAGCTTTATCAATTCCCTGAGGTAACACAAGTTCTTGTCCATGTCTGTGTCGGTTGGTGTGCAGACAGCTACAGATCGTTGCATCAAACCGGCAAAACACCAGAATGCATCGGTCTCGGAGTTCAACTCCGCCAGGAGAGGGGCCAGAAGGTCTGACATACCCTGGGTATAGCCGAGGTGAGCATTGTAAACAGCATAATTCAGAAGGATGTTTCTGAAAAGATGTGTACGTGGTGAAACTAGAATTTTTTCCCTTTTTGCTTCAGAATTATAGTAATTTTAATCGTTGAAACTTAGATATCTTCTCCCTTTTAGCTAAAATTACCGGTTTTTCGTTTTGTAAAAAATTGTTGAGCGGATTGACACAAAAAAATATATCGTTTTCGTATTTTAATATTGTTTAATAACTCAGAACATCCTTAGGGATGCTTCTTTTAGCCAAAATTCAGGTTTTTCCAATTTTTCTGGTGAGCTATCGATGGGATTGACGTCAAAAAATATAACGTTTTTGCGTTTTGTCGTTATTCAATGCAGCATTCAGTCTTCTACTACTACAGTCTTCTACTACTTTTTAAAAGTCTAGAGAAATGCAGAAATATATTGGCACCACCTTGAAGCTTCATGAGTCATTAAATAATAGGAAACGCAAGAACATCATATTTTCCCCCGCCAATCCCATCGTAAGTTTGCAGAAAAATAGAACATCTTCAAGTACTCGGTTGGCATTATCTTATGGAATATTCACATGAAACTAAACGCCTTGAAGAACCTTAAGGTTGAAAAACCCCAACGATACTCACTTCATCACCCTGATATTGGGATTATCCTCCCCCGCATAATACGGATTAGCCCGATCGGTCCTGACGACATCCTTCTCAACGATGCAAACGACATTTCTCCAGAACATCTCAGCCTCCTCCGGATTCATCGAGCACCTGCGTCTTTCAATTTCCTCATACTCGATCCTCCTAATGGCGTCAATTTGTTCCCTGTCCTCAAAGGTGCTCTGATAAGAGTAACAATGAAGAAGAAAGGGCCACACAATTTTCCGGAGTGCGGGTTCGAGTCCACCGAAGAAGATGCCCTTCCTCAGGGCGAGATCATCCTCCACCTGTCCCCGCTCATTCAACAGATCTTTCCACGCGAGGGATGTGATCATGGGCACCTGTCCCTCCTCAGGGTGCAGTTCATCACGTGCCACTTCTGGTCTGCATACCATAAAATGCCTGTAGGGGAGAGATCCCTCGGTGTCAGGCGCCTCCTCGGGCCTCGGGTAGAGCAGCTGATGCCACTGGTGCAGAGTATTCGCCAGCCTGTCCAGTCCTCCATGATGGAAATGCAGAATCTTGTACTGACTCTCTCTCGAGGCGACCACCAGCTGTCCACTGGTGCACCCTGGATCCGCAAAAAAGAGTCTCAACGATCTCATCTGTCCCAGATCCACGGAAAACCTTCTGCAGGCGTGAGCCCTTCTCACAGTCACCGGCGATGCCGTTGCACTCTCCGGAAAGGTCAGATTATGCTGGAGTGCCAGTAACTCCGGAGATCTCATCCACGTGGGAAAATCATGATCAGAACTGTTGAGGGATAGATTGCACGAGTTGAGGGACATGCTCCGGCTCTTGTTCGTCACAAAATGCGCGTAGGAATTGTCGAGAGTACCGGAGTCGATGGACTCTGATCTCAATCGATTCAGGATTATCCCCTCATCCTCATTTTTGTTCGGTTCTCTGGGTTCTTCATCTGGCATCTTCAGGGCATCGCCCTTCTCGTTGGAATTAGCCAGCCTCTGGCTTCCCTCCAAACAACCCCCTGAGCAGATTCTCTCGCAGTCCCTGCAGTCGACGGGCTCCTTCACCTCCAGACACACATCCAATTTCTCGGAATTCCCCTCTTCTTCGGTGATCTTGCCCTGCAGGGGATTACCCTCGGAGGGGATACTTCTTTTGGGTGTCAGGTTCTCGAGTGTCGTCGGATGTTTTCTCAGGGTGCTGTTGGGGATCCACGAGAGGTGGAGTGTCGGCACCTCCGTTGACTCACCGATTCTGCAGGTAATCGTCAGATAACCCGGATGGTGCACCACGTCGCAGTGCTGTCGCATCGGTGGATGTACACACACATTATTCTTACAGAAAAGTGCTTCACCGTCTTGATACAGGATTTTTCGATCTGGCGGGCTCTCCCCCAGGATATAGTTGCTCGCCTTCCTCAGGATATTCGGCAGAGGCATTTTTTTATTCTCATTAATTTATTGATTAGTCATTTGCTCGCTCCTCATTCTCTATTACTTAACTACGTTGTAACTCTTTGTTCGATCTCTTCGATTCCTCGGTGATGACTTCCATTCTCATTTCGATCACTCGAGTGTAACTGTAAAAACTTGAGGTTCAACAGTTGTTTAATTATTCTCATTATCTGTCAACAACATTAACATATGTTTCGTTATCGTCGAGTTACTGTCCTCATTGCATCTGGAAAGCAAACGCACATCAGTTGTTTCTATTGATACTCACTTCGATAATGAATTGCCTTTTTTAAACATTGAAAATGTTTATGTTTTATTGTGGGTTTTCAGTGAAGAGTGCTCCACGTCACTTCACCTTGTTTTATTGATGGACGGGCTATTTTAATGTGCTCGTCATGTTTTTTGTGGGACTGATGGAAATGAAAGTATGGAAATGGTGGAAATAACTTTTTTTACGATTTCAATGTTAATAAATAAAGTTGGTGCACTGTGGAGTATCACGAGCACAACAAATTCATCAACGAAAACGCAGTGGACGGTGCGCAATGCACATTGTACAACTTGCTCGTGCCCTTTTCCCTCTTAGGATCAATATTTCTATTGGATCCCCGCAGTACTATCCAAACCACTTACATTCCACTTCCGACGTGCTTTGTACTTATCAAAGTTGCAAATTGAAGATAAAACGAAGGGTACCGCAACAGGAATTTATGGAAGTTATATACACATTTTGCTTTAGATTTTATTCGACCAATAATGTGATGACGTTTTCAATAAATGCTCGCGGAAGTGGTAAATTCATTTGGATAAATTTACAATTTTTCACAGAACTTTGAGAAAATTAATAATATGTCATTAATAATATATTAATAATATCAATCTAATCTCTATCAATTAATTCTGATTTATTTGTAAACGAATGATAGACATTTGGGACGAAATTTTGAAAATCGTCGATTTATGGAGAACAACAAATAATACTGATACGATTTTTCAGAGAATGTGGGAGAATAGAAAGTTTATGAGAATTCAGCGAATGGTGTTTGGACTATAGAAATTGAACAGGAAAAAATTAAAAAGGGACAGCTCTGGTGAGAAGTGTTAAAGTAAGAGACATACATTTTTTTCAAGACTGTTTTTTACTGAATATTTCGGAATTGAAGGAAGATAGCGATATTTTTGGTCATACATTTTTTGGAGAGAAAAGTGAGTGGTACAAAAAAGGTATTTAGAAAAATATCGATATTTTTCTTCAATCTTGAGATATTCGGGAAAAATTCAACTCGAGGAAATGTGCACTTATTCGAGTTTACCGCTAGTGAATTCATTCTTCACACATTTTTTGTATATACCTCGCAAGTAATTAATAAATTACATTAATTAGAGAATTTCTGTTACATTATATTAGAGTTTTTGTACAAAATATGCACATGGCAATTATTCTGAAAAGGTCCTGGAGACATGAGAAAACTTCGAAAAGAGGAATTATCAGTCTCAATTTACAGGTCCAAGGCCTGATCATGGATGAACATAATCCTATGAGTCTTGTCCATAGCAAGCCCAGACTTGGGCCCACGATTGAGGTACGTGAGGTTGGCATAAGCATTGAACACAAAGTCCTCCTTGAGATATCCCTGGATGAGGAGGAAGCCGATGATGGCTTCCCCTGCCTCTCTCGAGAACTTGGGGACTGGAATGGTGGAGACTCTGTAGGCGACAGCCCCCTTGTTGTACCAAGCGTCCATCAGCTTGAGGAGTGTCAGGTTGGTCTCACTTTTGAGGGCCTTCTCGATTATCTGGTAAATTTGGCGACAGTACGGGCCGATGTCCGTCTCTTTGCTTTTTTTTGGACGTCTGCAGTGGTCGCACATCTCGGCGCAGTCCTCCTGCTTCCAATTCTCCTCGAAATGTTTAGCTATCAAACTTCTGCGACACGTGCCGGAGTCCAAGCAGTACTCGAGAACCTAAAATCAGCGGCGAATGTCATTGATATATGAAGATTAAAAAATGAATAGTTATAATAAATTAATTTTTTATTGCTCTATTCAATTGTTACTTAAGGATTCAAGGTCTTATTTAGTCTCTCTTGAGTATCTGGGGAACAACATACCTTTTGACTAAGCAGAGGCAGAAATTGTTCCTCGATACTAAAAAATATAAGTTAAAATAGGAATCGAAATGATTACCATTTCAATTCCATAATTCAATATTCTTCAAAAAAGTCACTTTTCTAGACCAAGACCCTGGCGGGGAAGTTAACAAAAAGTTTTTCATTTTCATATTTTAGATGTGTACGAGTTTTATGATAATTTACGGCGCAAAGAAAAATGTAAAATCAACGGTTGGTTAACAATTTAATTTGATTAAAAAAAAAACCTCACTTTTCTCCCATAAAAATTTTAAATCCGTTCTCAGGGCTGTGGAAAACAATATTTTTCTGTTTTTGTTCTTCCCTGAGGATTTTATTATTATTTAGCGCAGTCATATAAGAAATAATCCGTTGATTCACTAAAAAAAAAATCTATTTCGGAAAAAAGTTATTGTCGTGGCCGATGGCGTGAGTGGAATGTGTGGGTTGAACTCATCACAAACCTTGTAGAGATTCTGGAGTCCGACCTTGTCACCTATGACCATTGTGCTGAGCCTGAAGATGTCAGCGAGACGGTAAAGAACGATACAAGCTGCCTTCTTGCCATCCCTTCCAGCTCGGCCACTCTCCTGGTAAAAATTCTCCATCGACTTCGACACGCAGTGATGAATGACAAATCTCACATCTGGCTTGTCAATTCCCAGACCAAAAGCTATCGTCGCCACCACCGCCTGGTACTCACCATTGATCCATCGCTGATAAATCTTCGATCGCACCTCCGGCTCCAGCATGGCATGGTAGCATCCCAAAAGGAGTCCCTTATCCCGCAGATCTGATGTCAATTGCTCTGCATCTTTTATTGTTGTCGTGTAAATAATTCCCGACATCTCTGCGAAACGCGTCTTCAAGAGGTTGGAAATCATCGAGAGGCAGACATCCTTGTCCGCAGGCTTTCGTCGGACCTCGTAGAAGAGATTTGGACGATTGAAGGACGCACGCAGCACCAGGCAGCCTTGAATCTCCAGCATCTTCTGGACGTCGTTTATTATCTTCGCTGGTGCTGTAGCTGTCAGCCCGAGAATTGGTACACCTGGGAACATGTCCTTCAGGCACCCCAGGAACTGATAATCAGGTCTGAAATCGTGTCCCCAGGTGCTACAGCAGTGAATTTCATCAATAGCGAATAACTCCAGTCGTTTCATATTGAAAGCCTTCTGGAGTTTAGACATGAATCTCTTGGACTTCTTCATGTACTCTGGAGTGATGTAAACGAGTTTCAGATCGTTGTTGTTCCCCTCGAGAGCATCCATGATGGCTTTAGTGATTTTTTTATCAGACTTGGGGTTCATCATCCCTGCTTTCACGTTAATCTTCTCCAATCCGTGGAGCTGGTCCTCCATGAGAGCCACCAGGGGTGAAATAACAATTGTCACACCTTTCCCGAGAACCGCTGGTAGCTGATAGCACAGACTCTTGCCACCACCGGTTGGCATCACCAAAATTGTGTCCTCTTTCGAGAGGATCGCGTTGATTGCTGCCTTCTGCAGCTCCCTGAACCTCTTGATCTTGAATACTTTGGTCAGAGTCTGGAGTAAATCCTTGGACCAAGGGAAGTCGTCCTTATCCCAATCTTTTTTCGATACTGTTAGACTCTTCTTCAGAAGGGCATCGTCCAACAGCTTCTGTTTCCTCTGAGTCAGCGCCAATTTCCTCTCCTTCAATTTTTCAATGTCCCTCTGAATCTGGCTCACCTCAAAATCGATCGCTGCTATCTCATCTTCCTCTGTCGCTAAAATAATTAATGTTTTTTAATTATCAGTTATTCCTTTTGCTTTAATGGAAATTCTCTTAAAATGAAAAAATCACGTTTGTTAAAAATTAGTAAACATCTGTAGATGATATATAAACACGGATTTTTGTATTTCGAGAGCTCAACAATATTTTGCCAATTTTTATTGACTTCTTATTTATTTATTTATACATAGAAGTTCGAAGGAACACCAGGAAACAGGGTCAGCAGATAAATTTCTATAATAATGTTGATTTCTGAACAATTTTAAACTTCATTGAACATTTTTCAAATAGAAAAGTGAAAATTGCACTGATTATTTCATCTTTCTATACCCCAATAATTATCATGTGACCAATCATGCTTTATATTGATTGTCAGTCAATAAATAAAACACATACGACCCAGAATTAATCTATTCATTTGTTGAATTATTCTTAATTAATTAAATAATCAATCAAACCACCGTTAATTTATTCGCTCTAAAAAAATATATCGTGCACAAATTATTACGCAATGGGGAAAAAGTAAGACGACAGTTCAATCTAACGATTAATGAATATCTTAAATAAACTATAAATTAAGGAGATGAATTAATATGAGTGAATACTGACATGGAGAAAGAATATATTGAAGAATATAATTATTGCGATTACTGAATTATTACAATACCTTCGTACACAACTTCAATATCTCCCATGACGCCCTAATAATTCAATACTTCATATGTCAGATAAATAATCAATTTGTTTTTTCTCGTCATTGCTTCATTATTTTATCCAAACCGCAGAGTTGTTTACTACGGAGATGTACACATGGCAGAATTCTCCATGAATGAGATATCAGCTGATTGATGGTCACAGCGAACTTCACTCATCTTTGCGGTTCAGGAGGTTCAGGATAAAACCACTTGTCGAACGTGTCTAGGTTAAGCCATTAAAAATAGTCGTAATTACTGGTGATTACTGTGGATCCAGTGGATTAATTGTTTTTAATTTCTAATATTTTTCTTTGAACACTGCAGATAGGGATATGTGTTGTTTTCACTGATGGTGAGGGATATATGCCCTGGTGCTTATGTTTTTTAATACTGCACTTCGTCACTGTCCATTTTGGCTCAAGAAACAGTTGAGTGGTGCCTATTTTACAGGTACTGGTGCGTTTTCAGTGGAAGATTATGGGTATTTGATGGCAGGTGATGATTTTGCTTCAGGGTTTTGAAGAATTTTATTGTTTTAGTCCGGAATATCTCCAGGAAGGGCTCTGGCAAGATGGACTCCAATTTAAAGACGCACACTGTGAAGACTATTGTCGAATTTCAATCCATGTCAGTGCATATTTTACCGGCACTTCAGGATAATTTCATGTATTTGGTAATTTTTTGTCATTCGTTATGATGCTGCAAACAAACACGCCTATATTGAGAATTTAAGTGCAACTGAATTCGAAGTTTTTACGTTGGAAAGGATTCGAATTTTTGTCACTAATGATTCTGACTGACAGTAATAAATTGAAAAAACGGAAAAATTTGAAAATCTTGGTGGAAAACTTTCGTATTCTCGGTGGAATATTGGCTGCCTATTTCCTTATAATTTTAATACCTTACGAGAAAAGATACAATTTCTTTTTATACATATTTTATTCTGATACAAAGAAAATAAAATAAAGAGAATACTAAAGCAAATAAATGGCATAAGAATGTTTTAAAAAACATGTAAGAATCGATTTCTATCCACTTTTGCGATATAATATTTTCAATAAAAAATTCTGAATCTGTCGAAAACTGATAAGAATCTAATACAATTATTTTATTTAATTATTATTGAGTTGGTGAGAATTTTTAATAACATTTCTTTGAACATTTGAATGTGAATAAGTATGATAATTTCAATGATTGAATCTGCAGATCGTCGATGACAAGACTAAAGAGGCAGCGGTGGTGGACCCGGTGACCCCAGGGCTCGTCGCAAGTACAGTTGAAGAGCACAAAGTTAATCTCACAACAATCCTGACGACTCATCATCACTGGGATCACGCAGGGGGAAACACCAATATGTTGGAGAAGTTCAAGGACGTTCTGATATACGGGGGTGATGATAGAATCGATGGTATTCACAAGATCGTGGGGCATGGGGACAGTCTCGAGATTGGGAGCTTGAAGGTCAAGTGTTTGGCAACACCCTGTCATACCACTGGACATATTTGTTACGTTGTCAATGCCCAGGATGACGAGCCACCCTCTGTCTTTACAGGTGAGATACCCGTGGAATTTCTCTGGACGTTAATTAGGACTACAATGGTTTTGTTTGAAATTTCTTCACTTAATTCGTAAGTGAGCAAAGAAATCATTAATGGAACTCAATCTGAGATAATAAATAATGTATGGAATTTTATTGAAAATCGAATCATTTTGCATTCATGTTTATTTATTATTATGAAGGGAATGTTTTAATATTTTTGAAGATCGCGACGTTCTTGGTAGTTGATTATGAAGACTAGAAAGTGTTTTCATGAAGATTTTGTTTGTTTTTATGCTTAAATTATCGATACATATTTTTGTAACAGCATTATGTTTGGAGATTTCTCTTTTTTCATGTGTTGGAGAGAGATGCAAAATGAATTGAATAAAATGATTATTCTTGATAGGTGATACATTGTTCGTGGGAGGCTGTGGAAGATTTTTCGAGGGAACTCCAGAGCAAATGTGCAAAGCTCTCCTGGAAGTCCTTGGTTCACTTCCTGAAAAAACGGTATTGTTGCTTTTCTTCAATTTCTATCGTTTCAAAAACCTTTTTTTCATTAATTTTATTGTTCAATTATTTTGGGATTTCAATTACTCATTTTTAAGGGGTTGGGGAATAATTTTCAATCGAAAAAAGAGGAACAATCTCATTAAAATTGTCGGCAAACATTTTTTAGTAGTTAACAGGTGGTTTTAAACTTTTATAAAATTTATGAAACACTTGAAATCGACAGAATATATTCTGCGGGCACGAATACACCTGTGCTAACCTGCAGTTTGGAATGGAAGTAGAGCCATTGAATCAAGACATTAAGGAAAAATTCGAATGGGCAAAAAACCGGCGCAAGCTCAAAGCCCCAACAGTACCGAGCACAATTGAGGATGAGAAGAAGACTAATCCCTTCATGAGAGTTAACGAGCCTTCGGTCAAGGAGTACACTGCGATGATAGATCCAATCGCGACAATGGGCTCCTTGAGAAAAGAGAAAGACAGTTTCAAACCGAAGGAGAAAATTTGATTGGTGCCACCTGAATATTCCCAGCAACTCCGGTAAATTGCTGACTGAAAAGATATTCAAGAATTAAATCAGGAATTAAAGAGAGAGTACTGAACTAGTTTTATCAGCGTCGGCAATAATACCAATGTTTTGTATGCTTCTCACGATTTTTTTTTCGAATAAAAACACAAATTGTAGCGAAATTATCAATATTTATTACTTCAAATAGCATAAATTTTTAAGTTATGTGCAGGGGAATTTGACTAGGCGTGTCTTCACTCTTTTTGTTATAAATCTGCATTTCAGCGACATATTTCTCCTTCGATCTTTCGTACATATCATAGTAAACCTGGAAAAGAATATCACTCATTAATTCCCGGAGAATATTTCCAAATAAAACATTTAGTTCTTCAAAACACAATTAAATCAATAGAACTATGTCCAAAATAATGAATGACAAGTTGAAAAAAAAATTGAACAGACAAGAAAAAAGGTAAGTGGCATTTTCCAATTATTATATTTTCGTTAAATATCTATTAATCAGAGAAACTGCTAATTTTAGAGGGAAATATGAAAAGATGTTTTTTACTGGGAATTTAATCCGCTCCAAAAAAGTCATTTATTGTATCCACCTCAAATCAATAGTTATGAATATAAAACGATAATTGGAGAAAATGTGAATGGCAACTGAATTGAACGATTAAAAAATTAAAGATATACACACCTTTTTATCTTCTGAACTCAACGACTTCCAAGTGGTGGCAAGTTGTCTAGTGAGCTCTTGTTTGCTGGGTTCAGGCTCTCCAGCGAGCCTCTCCATCACCCTAGGCCTCTGCTCCTGACAGAATTGGAAGAACGGATTTGCAGGACGTTTTGGAGCATTTGGATCAGTCTTTCCTCCTTTTCTCTTCGTTCCCTTCTTCGGTTTCTCTTCCTTCGCTGCTTGTGATGTCTTCTGCTGCTTCTCTGACTTCACCGTTGCCTGGAAAACACTGTTCTCCTCTGAGACGCCCATAGGGGCTTCCCTCCACCGATCTCCATGTTGATCGAGTCGATCAATCAGGAACCTGGAGCAAGATATTCCGTTCAGATTCTCGGAATTGATTTCTCCGAAGAAAAATTCCCGAGGCATTTTTTGAGACAATTTTTCTCTTAATAAACGTTCTCCTAATAAAAATACAATTCTTATCGCATGGATAATTTGAATAATTAAATAAGATCGATCATTTGTGAGACGTTTCAATCAAGAGAATAATTGTTGGCCAGAAAAATATTCAAGGGAAAATACCACACGTGAAAAATTAGTTACCGCTCTAGATAATATATATTAATGATGTTACACTCAAAAATATCACAATAAAAAATAACAGGCCGAAAAGTATTCAATTTAATTATAGAATTTAGAATATCATAAGCTAATAATAGCACAAAACGTCAATATCACACGCACAGAACAGGAAAATCAATATTGAGTAAACCCAAAAAATAGAAGACTGAGCAGCCGAGAATTCCACAATTTTTATAGGTGGCAACAGAAATTTTCCCTGCAGAAGAATCGAGATAAGTTTCTTCAAAGAGAAAAATCCACCGATTACTCCATTCAATTTCAACGCATTTGGTCTTATTTTGAAGCTCCCAAGACACCCGTGAAGATAACGAAAATAATTTGAACATTCACTCAGTGACTTTCTATCTAGCAACCACTAAAAACAGTCTATCTTACCGCATCCATCACAGATAACCTATAATCACATACTTTTTCTCCTTTCTCGTGCGTTTCAGAAGTTTCCTGACGGTCTGGATTCGATAGACAAGTCGTTCATTATCCTGTCAACACACTGTCAATTCAGAAATTCATCCAGCTCCAAAAATAATCAAAACTGAAATGGAGTTATTTACCTGCTGCAGGAGTTCGCATCTGTCTAGTAAAAGTTGATATTTCCGTTTGTAAATGTCGTACTCGTCAAGGTCCCCTTCGTACTCTGATTCCTCCAGCATTTCGATCTTCTGACAATATTCACTTTGTGATTATGCAATTAATAATTGAATTGTTTATCACTCCGAAAACGCAAACATCAATCATGTGGTTCCGCACCAGTGACGAATGATTTGAGGTGATCCAGTCGATAAGTTCAATTTCTTCAATAATTTCTGCAATCTTTGAAGAGACTAGCGCCGCCCCGGCCGCTCCGCGGCCGGGA